AGGTACACCCACGTTACACCTATCTTCCGCGAGCTGCACTGGCTTCCCATTGGTCTCCGGACATGTTTCAAGGTGCTAGTCGTTATTTTTAAAGCCCTATATGGTTTAGGACCTGGCTACCTGAGAGACTGCCTCCTGCCATTTACCTCCTAGAGACCTATAAGATCGCACAAACTAGGCCTCCTCCGTATTCCATCTGCCGGTCAATGTCGGCTGGCGACTCCTCCGGGGAGGGCCTTCTCTTTAGCGGCTCCGGCCCTATGGAACTATCTCCCCATGGAGATTCGGACCCTTACTACTCTTCTGGCCTTCCGCAAACGATTAAGGCCTGGCTGTTCCGGCAGGCCTGGGGCTGTTGATTTATCCAGCCCCATTCTGAGCTATGAATGTTGTGAATTTTAATGTCTGTTTTTTAATTTTTATATGTTCCCCCTTCCTGCTTTATTTGTAAGCCACCCTGAGTCTCTCGAGAGTGGGCGGCATACAAGTCCTAATAAACACTAAACACTAAACAAACACTAGTTCTCAGCTAGGGACCAGAGTTGAGACTTACAATTCAGTAGTTAAGCAAAGCAGTTACTAAGTGAAACCATGACTTTGCATATTATCTTATTTCCTTTGCTGTTAAAGTTGTGAGTGCAAGGATAAAGTTATTTTTAATCACCATCGTAACTGAACAGTTGCTAAACAAGGTAGTCATTAAACAAGAATTACCTGTAAATTGTAGTTTTGCATTGCATTTCAGAACACTCAGTATAGATTCATCAAACATGATTACTCCAGCACATTGTCAGACTTTTATAAAATAATGTAACATTAGTCTAGATGTGTAAGATACTTTCAGTTAATGGATTAGAGCCACAATTATTATACTTTGTTTATATGTTGTGATATAGCTAGAAAAGAAACTGAAATAGCATTCCCAAAAGGAGGAATTTATCCTGTGCTATAACTTAATTTAACTAAGTATAATTAATTTTAATTTAAACCCCCTCCCCCCATGTCCATTATTATAATGACTTGAGTATTGTGGCAACTTATTTTTCACTTTGAGTTTTGTGTTTGTGTGTTTACTAATAGCAATGGTGGATCTTGACTCCCTAAAAATGAAATTTATTTTATGAGTCCTGGCCATTTGTTAATGCTATGGTATAATTTGCACAAATATATTTCATGATTTATTTCTGTACCATAGAATAGAACTCATTCAGTTTGACATTGAATCTGCTTCATACCAACCTACTTAGGCTCAAGGATTGCAATTTCTCTTGTTCACCAACGCTTATGTTCAAAGGGCTTTGAATTTGGAGCCCTTGCATCCTGGAACTTTCACAACATGGGTTTCCCATTGATGTGGAAATAAATATTTCCTGCAGTCAAAGGAATTTCACAGCTGTTCTAAGCCCCACACCCCTTACACCAACATGTCTGTTTCTTTAATAGCAGGGATGTTTTTTTTTTTTTACATTTATAACTATTAAGGAATGTGCTTTCATTTGCCAAGACATTTAGTGGAAATAGTCTTAGTTATTTTACACAAAATAGAAATGGTTTGCCATTGAATCCTAGGGCTGAGAGAAAGTGATTGGCCAAAAGCTACACAAGATGAGTTGCTTTGTGCTTGATGCCTCAACCATTACACCAAATCAGCTCTCATACTCCTCAAACTACTCCCATCTAGATTCTGTCTGAAGACTATGACAATAACCTTTAGCATGAAACTTTTTACTTCTCAGGTTTTTTGCTCATAGTCAGCTTAGAGAGATGTTCTTTTGCTCACTGTTTGACTACATTTGACTTAAGCCAATAAAGTATTACCCTAGGTTGAACATTTTCTTCTGGTCAACTGACCTTTTTTGTGCAGTTTTAATAACCAGTGAGATATGAAATAATTAATAATTTATTATACATAAGGCTGCATTCTATCACATTAGATCTTTGACTCATCTGCCTTAGTATTTTCCTTGGTGATGGGCAACAATTTCTGGCCTTAGAGAAAGGGTCCCCCCCCCCCCAGCACTGTCTGGAGATATTGGGACAGATATCATCCATTTCTTTTCTGGGGCTGAGAACCCTTTAAAATAGAGGAGATTTTATCTAAATCTTTTTTCTACTCTATTATTTTTTTCCTGACTTCTTATAGACTATTTTTGAAAGAAATTGTCAGTCAGATGACTGTGCTGCTGACCTGAAACTCCAGTGTAAACTCTTCCTATCTAGGTAAGTAGCCTTTTTTCAATTAAAAATGGCTTGGATTGTGAGATATTGGATTATAAAAAGAAAATTCACAATTGTAAAGAAGAGTTTAGATATCTTGAGTGCAAACTGAGAGGTAGTCATGTCAGATTGAAGGTTACAGGTGAGTAAGCAAGCATGGTCAGACACAAGATATTCTTTAGAACTCTGGACTGATCCCAGCAAAGCTGTAAACTGTTCCAACATGAGTTCATTGATAATTGGATTCTTATTCCAAATCTTGCAGACTCTACTTCATGGCTAGAAGATCAAAATCCCCAGACAGACCAATCTGTTTGATAAACAAATTTGGCAAGTGAGACTTTTGGCAAGGATATTGATTCCTCCATGTAATCTGAGTCAGGGGTCTGCAATTCCTAGCCCAATTATCATAGGATTTCAGGTTCAAATTCCTAAGTTGGCTGTGTAAAAGCCCAGTTCTGGAAGTTGCACAACTAATGTCTTACAGCAATTTAAAAAGTGAACGATTGATTATTTTCTTAAACCAAATAAAATTGCACTTTGGAATGGAATGGAATGGAATTTATTATTTATATGCCGCCCTTCTCCGGGAGGACTCAGGGCGGCGAACAATCCAAAAAGGGAAAGGGAAACATCAAAACGAAATACAAATAATAAAAATAAGCAACAGTCGCACAACCATACATGTTGAGAGGGGAGGGAACTCATCACCCCCAGGCCTGCCGGCAAAGCCAGGTTTTGACGGCTTTTCGGAAGGCCTGGAGAGAGGCGAGGGTCCGAATCCCTGCAGGGATTTCATTCCAAAGGGCCGGAGCTGCCACAGAGAAGGCCCTCCCCCGGGTAGCAGCCAGATGGCATTGGCTGGCAGATGGAACCCGGAGGAGGCCAACCCTGTGAGATCTAATGGGTCTGTGGGAGGTAATTGGCAGCAGGCGGTCTCTCAAGTACCCAGATCCAATACCATGAAGGGCTTTATAAGTTACGACTAGCACCTTGAAGCGTATCCGGAGACTGATCGGTAACCAGTGCAGCTCGCGGAGGGTAGATGTAACGTGGGTGTACCGAGGTGCACCCACGATCGCTCGCGCGGCTGCGTTCTGGACGAGTTGAAGTCTCCGAATACTCTTCAAGGGCTGCCCCATGTAGAGCGCATTTATTCATCTTACAATCAAGTGGATAATGAAAAAATGAAAAAAACCAATCATACATACACACACACACACACACACACACACACACACTTTAAATGCATAGATGTAGAGATTCACAAAGATGACTTTGAAGATATTAAATGGAAGTGATAATTGGAAAAAACATGCATTAAAACTGGGAAACAGAAAATTTGAAGAATATCAGACTGACTTCTTCCTAATTCATTAGTGTATAAGATGAAGAAAGAGAAAAGCTTAATCAGGTTTTCTGTTACTATATCAAAAATACAGTTCCTTTCAGACTAATGGAATCTTTTTCTTGATTTAGCCAGTTTTGAAGGGCTGTCATTAAATTCATAGCATTCTAAAATGAATTGTCCTCATCATTTGTTATTTTGGTATTGTACTTTTGTTATTTCTTCTTAAAGCTGTCTCATTTTAAACTATTTGTATAGTTGTATCATGCCATTTTCTTTCCCGAAACAAATGAGTACAGATATATTTTGCAACAGTTCCAACTTTGCTTGCATTTAATAACCAAATATTAAATTGTTAAGAGAGAAAACTTTAGTTAATGTGTTGTTAATCAAGACTGGAATGGATGATTTAAATGGATTCTTCTAATGCTTTGGATGTGTGTAAAGTGGAATACAGCAGGAGAAAATCCTAATCCTAAGTAAAGAAGGGCAGGGACTACCCTTAGGCAAAATAGAAAGGTGACTCCTAGCAGTGCAGTTGAAGAGGAAATCCAGCCCTGTGGACTACACAAATATAACGGTACTCTATGTAGTACCATGAAAAACAGAAGAAGTTTGAGGGGCAACAATAATGGAAAAAGCAGAGAAGTTAGGGTAATTATATTTCCTCTCATTCCTTGTATAGAAGAGGCAGAAAGACTGTATCTGACCTGTATGAGGCTATTTGTTTAAAAGAGCCAAAGAGATGTGGCGATTAAGTAGTAACCTATGACTGGGAAGATCCAAATTTAATCCACCTCAGACTTGGAAATTCAGTGATTTTGTGTGCTCTCCCTTAGCTCAGAGTATCTCACAAAGTTGTTATTGTGGAGGTTGCATGGTGAAAGATCCCCATGTAAATATCCTTGAACTGATTTCTACTGGGTGGAGGAAACAATTGCTTTTCTTCCGAGCAGTTATGTTGTGTATTATTAATTTATTTAGTTTAACTATATTTCCATAGCAAAGATCTATTTGCTTCAGTTATATGGTACTTTTATTCAAATATTCCAGAACAACTTACTAATACTATGTCCACTATATTTATAATTTAAAGAACATAATATATAGGGAAAATAGTTTAACAAGGAGTGATGGGAAAATTCAGGATTTTGAAAAAAATCAGCTGCCCATTGTAACAAAAACAATATTATTAAAATATAGAAAGCAGAAATGATGGCAGTAATTAATATTAGACCATTGTCAAAATTCAAACCCTCAAAGAACATGATGGGATTTTGTTATGGAAAAAAAAATCTAAACTGCTAATATTGATGTGTATTTCATTCTTAATGTTTTTTTCTTTTGTTCAGGATATCTGAACAAGATTTATAATTTTGGCCCTGTTGAATTGGATCTGCTTGATTTTATTGTGTACGGCAGCCTTCCCCAGTCTGGTGCTCTCAAGATGTACTGAATTGCAGTTTCCTTCATAGCCTATCATAACTGTTTGACTGTGGGTTGGTCAGAAGGCCTCCAGGTTTGGGGAAGCCATTTAATTCTAAACAATATCTGCTTCTCCAAACAAGCAAATGATAGAAGCTTTTTTCAACATAGTAGGGAACAGAAGGTATCTAAGGTTCATTTTCCCATGTAAGTCATCACATAATTACCTGCTCAGAGATCTAAAGTCAAGAGTTATAAGGAGAAAATTGCAACAGAATTCATTTTTAGATTTTAGCAGGCAATGTTTCAAATCCTGGACTGTTAACATCTCCTCCTCCTCCTCCCCCATCTTCTTCTTCTTCTTCACCATTGTCTTTCCATTGCAGAATAAAGTCCACTTCCTCATGTTTCCAACAGTGACGTGCAGTCAGGGGAGGCAGGGGAGGCAGAGCCTCACCACTGTCATCATGAAAAGAAAAAAAAATGTAAAAGGAAAAAGGCAAGAGCTGAGGTCAGACTGAGCTAGTTGCTGCCAGTCACCGTGGATGACTCTGCTTAGTGCTTAACTGTTTAAAAAAGCCTCTAAAACGTGCCCTCTACAGGAGGAGACAGGAGAACGACGTGCCTCATCTAGTTTGACTTTAGGCGTTTTATGATCACTCGAGCAGAGTTAAGCAAGGGTTAAAAGTCTAAAAATTCCTGACATAGGTGAGGCATGTCATTCTCCTGCCTCCTCCTGTAGAGGGCGCTTTTTAGAGGCTTTTTTTAAACGGTTAAGCAGAGTCATCCATGGTGAAGCAGCAACTAGCTCAGCCTGACCTCAGCTCTCACCTTTTTCCTTTTACATTTTTTTTTCTTTTCATGATGACAGACAAGAGCAGAGTTGAAACAGCTGGAAAAGGTACATGTGGGTCGGAGGGAGGGGGAGGAATTTGAACTTTATCCACCTTGTGTGGGGCTTTGGGCAAAGGCTGGAGGGAAGTGCTCTACCTCCCCAAGTATAGTTTGATTGCAGGCAGAGCCACATTGTCTTTTCAAACCTGTAATCAGTGAAGCTGGGCTGGATCCTTCCGAGGCTGGGGAAAAGTGTGTGTGCTCCAGTATGGCTCTTTGACTGCCTTTCTGCCTCCTACTGTGGTCTCCCTGACTCCCTCCAATCCAACTTTGTGTGTGTGTGTATGTGTGTGTGTGTGTGTGTGTGTTTGTGTGTGTGTGTGCTTGTTTGAGAGAGAGTTTGTTTGAGTGAGAGAGGGAAGGGGGTAGGAGAGATAGTCCAATCCAACTTCTCTGTGTGTGTGTGTGTGTGTGTGTGTTTGAGGGGGGGGGAGAGGGAGGGCAAGAGGGAGGAAGGAGGGGAAGGAGAAGAAAAAGAAAAAGAAAGAAGGAAACATTTCGCAAAGGAGAAAAACAAATGCTGTTGCTTTAAATCGGAACTGAGCATGCCTGATTGTGGAATTCTGGGAGTTGAAGTCCACAAGTCTAAAAAAATTTTTTGTCAGTGCCTCACCAGCCATAAACCTCACCACACGTCACTGGTTTCCAACCAATACAATCCTGAGCTTTTTTTTTGCCAGTTGGGCCTGCAATACTTGCTGATGTTGTCAATCCATCTTGTTATAGATCTCTTTTATGGACCCTTTTTATCAAGTGGGACCCATTCTGTGAGTGCCTTGGTCCACCTGCTGTCAGTTCTTCTTGCCATGTGATCGCACCATTTCAAATTATTTAATTCTCTTGATGATATCAATTGTTTTATTTTCTTGATGATATTGTATACTTTCATTTGTTCTCTAATCCAGGTGCAGGTCGTTCTTGTCTTGTAATGCTGAGTATGCATCTTTCCATGACTCTTTGCACCACTTGTAACTTTTATATCAATTGTGAAGTCAATGTTCATGTTTCATTGGCATAAATTAATATGTACTCTATAATATCAGAGCACAATAACCCTTTCCTTGAATAAATAAGTATTCTGAGTGCAAAACTCTGAAGAAAATTATGAAGATGTGAGAAGCCATCTATTAAGATAAGGGATACAATAATGGCCATCTTGACCATAAAGGAAGTTTCTAGTGTCATACTGCCTCTTTTTTGATAAGTGGCTTTGCTTTGAGATGAAATGCTGCTATGCCAGATTATGTGCTTGAAAAAAGGATCCGGTGCTGCTATTTGCACAAACACCTTAACTGTAATTCAGATATAATATTCAGAGAATGGTTGGTGTGAATAT